AAGGTTAGTGTGAAGGCACGTTTCATTTGAATTTATTGTATCAAATTTAATGAGAAACCATTCATACAAAATTCCATCCAACTCCAATTATCGGTAGCCTTACGCAACTGATGTGTCAGTGTTCCCTGGCTCCAATTAGACAGTCGAGCTGTTAATCACACTCCATGGCTGTCTATATCCACTCTTCCCTGTTCTTTAAATGCTGTTTTCTTTAAATTGACATCATGTTATTATAGTGATATGCAAACTTTAACCATAAAATAGCCTGGCTGTCAGATCTTAGACAGGGTTTGATATTAGAATGTAGATTTGTAAAAAAGAGGGAAAGTAGATGAAAGATAACACGTGTGGACTAATTCATTTTTCCTTTATTCACTTCAGGTGTAACCAAGTCTCCAGAACACCAAAGACACCAGAGGGAGCAATAAATAAAATATTTTAATTGTAGCTGCAGGCAGGACTGAACAGGCTTGAACACATCACTGTGGCCTCGGCCCCCCCGTCTTGGCTTGTAGGTTCAGGGTTAGGCTAAGATGGAAATGGAAATATGGAAATATTTGTTTCCGATGGGAAAACATGCAGAGTTTTCCAGTTATTGTAACACGATCGAAACATGTGAACAGATAAGAAATACTCCTTCTCTTCTTCTTTTGTGCAACAAAAATGACTATGAGCTATGACGTGTCTGTTTGATTTATCCACGACAGAAAATGGGAAAGGTGAGCTGACGACTTCAAACTTCGCCATTGCCAAACCACAGAAACACCTTGGAAAAGTCTGAACCATTAGCCAATTATTTTGATTGCGTTTTTTTTGTAAAGATTGTGACGACATAGCTTCTCCTACCACCATCGGAAAAAGGAAAAAAATAAAGTTTTTTGAAAGAAATGCTTGGTGCCAGTCTGAACCTGGGACAGTTGAATAGAATATGTCAACATAATAAATGTGTTTCCCAGGATGACCAGCACGGGGGCTCTAGAAAAAGGTTATTTTCCCTTTTACGCTCAATTTGCTGTATTTTAATTTAACCCAAAATCTAGCAAAACACAAACTACTCCATATTGTATTAATAAATGTTTCTGCAATTGATTATTATTTATATAAGTTACAAATATTGTTCATAGCTCTGGGAAATAAAAAAAAAACATTTTTTGAACCTCTGCTGCATGGACCTTATTAACTGCTTTTTAAGCTCCCGCGGGCCATACAAGATGACTTGGCGAGCCACATT